ACATACATACATACATACATACATACATACATACATACATACATACACACATACATACATACATACATTGTGTGTGTGTGTGCGTTGTCAGGTATTTTCTTTTATCAAAAGGTTTTGGGAACACCAGTGGATGGCAGGTACAAAGAGCTCCAGGCCGGACCCATTGAAGCACGAACGGTTGCAGCTGAATTCGTGGGGTCCTGAGTGTGTGTGTGTGTGTGCCTAGGACCTACTTTGAAGCACCTTCAAAGCATTTCAAAGCTAGGGACTACATCATTGAGGTCAGATCTTTATCATGCCCATGATTCATGATCCTTATGATGGATCAATCCAATTTTCAGATTCGTGTCACGTCACCTGTGTCAATAGGGGATTGAGGCGATTGCTTACACAGAGCAGCTGAAGATCCAGTTGCCGAAGTGGCTTTTGGACAAAGACCAGGCATCCAGACCCTTGTGGTGCAAAGCTTCCGGCGGATTTTGTGCGACCTCCTCTGACTTTTTTTTTTCTCAGAAGCCGCACCTACTTCACAAGTTAAGTCATGTGCATGTTTCATCATGTTTCTGGCATCGCTCGTGAGTAAATTAAAACCATATTCAGTTATCTCACCAATCGAAATTCCAACCAGATTATTTTGAGTGATATTCATCTCACTTCTTGCATTAGAGGTGGAAGCCCTCCGAAAGCTGGAAGCGGCAGTGGCCAGTGGCGATGAGCGGGCCTTGCGTGAGGCAGAGGGAGTTAGCATTGTCCTTACTGTCCTTTCCGTTTGTTTGTTGCCTGTCATTTTTTCTATAGTCGGATAGTAGTCATGTTTGCTTTTATGCTTGTTGATTTCAGGGCTAGATTGCCGCAAGTCCAGCTTGCAGGCCGTGGTGTTTGCGAAGCAAACGGACCACAAGGCAGATGAAGCTCTAGAAAGCAAGTGCGCCAAGGGACATGGTTGGAGAGCTTGCGGCATTTTCGCTTTCACTCCCATCAGCCCCTTATCATCCCTTATATATGCCACTTATGCCCTTTGCTCCTAGTAGCTTCTTTGCTCCTAGTAGTAAGGCCAGGAGCCCCTAGTAGCGTGCTTGCTCCTAATAGCGATGCTCTTTGCTCCTAAGCGTCCTTGTTCCTAGTAGTAAGGCCAGGAGCCCCTAGTAGCGTCCTTGCTCCTGATAGCGATGCCCTTTGCTCCCAGTAGCGTCCTTGTTCCTAGTAGTAAGGCCAGGAGCCCCTAGTAGCGTCCTTGCTCCTAATAGCGATGCCCTTTGCTCCTAGTAGCGTCCTTGTTCCTAGTAGTAAGGCCAGGAGCCCCTAGTAGCGTCCTTGCTCCTGATAGCGATGCCCTTTGCTCCTAGTAGCGTCCTTGTTCCTAGTAGTAATTCCAGGAGCCCCTAGTAGCGTCCTTGCTCCTGATAGCGATGCCCTTTG